GGCAAAGATTCCCATACAGCGTTATTGTGCTCTGAAAATTTATTCTGCTCCAAAAATAACATGATACTGTCGCGTCCTTCGCCGGTACACGTTGAGTCCAGATTTTATTAGAGTGACGAGTCAAATAGTCAAAACGACCGCAACGGGGTTAAGAAGCTCCATGGGTCTCAGAGTTCTCCGACTGGCACTGACTGGGGTCGCACGATCCACGCGGTACTGTCGACTTCTTTGCGATCGATCCACCGTGGAGTTGAACACCGGTATCCACGCTGCGTCGTTCCACACTGTACACACTCCAGATCGCGGTTCGCGCACGTCTTGATCCACGGACTGTTCTCGAAGGGAGAGGAAGATAGTTGGTGTTGTTCCCAGCAATAAACCTATTCTTTCTTAATTTTTTATCCTCTTTTTTCACTGGATAACATTACAATTTATCAAAGCCCAACAATTTTCTCCGCATTTGCTCTCTATCAAAAATAGTTCGAATGGTAACAAATGCCTACAGCAGTCACTCGCAGGCAGTACTGTCGATGGACTGCTTACAAACTATCTGATAAAAGGCTTGACCCCTAGCATGCGGCGTACTGAAAATCAAAACATGGATCAAATTTTCACACTGTTTCTGGATGGTATTAGTAATCTAATTGTCAAAAAAATCTAAACTATATTCCGTATTTTCGAGAAAAAGTCTTTTTACAGCCCTGCTTGAAGAAATTTTCAATTATGATACCGGACAGTTTTGTAACTGAAGGACCAGAGCCGAAGAAGACATTTGATGTTGGTACTCTGAACTTAGCTGGCAAATTTTCCGGAGAAACACGAGACTGCGTTAACTAGATGCATTATGCCAGTGCATAGGGCAGTACCCGTTCAATTCATCATATCCAGATTTGTCACCGTTGTTTTTGCGCTTTTTTTCCTGGTTATTGTAATTTATGTGTTTTCCTGATTTCGTTGGTTGCCTTTTTTTTTTGTTTTACTGAGTTGGCAGTTTACAAGTTCTGTCAAATTTGCAATTTATTCTAAAATCACAACAGTCAACTTCGACAACCTACAGCGTTTATTAAAGTCACGGGATTTAGAGTGGTGATTAAGTCACTGACAAAATTTAGGATTCAAAATTCAGTGTGCATCATTCAACAGTTTTAACCAAATTTTATCTGAAATCTGGCCCAACCTGAGGTTTCGAAAACAAAGGATAACACATAAAGTTCTGTTTCTTCCCGCCTTATCTATTTTTTTCTGTTTAAAGCGCTTTCCCACAACAACAAAAAGGTAAACAAAAATTTTACATTTATTAACAATCAAATTCATGTATCCATGGTTCTAGGCTTGCCCTGATGCTAATTCAAACACTGGTTTGCAAGTGTAGTCGAACCAAATATATAAGAAAGTGGCAAAGTTATCGAGAAAATTCTTGTCACGAAATTAACCAGAAAACAAATACCATGATCAGGATTATAAAGATTGCTCATATGGTATCCTTGCTGCCGCTAAAATACAACCACCGACATCAAGAGGAATTTATACGTAATTTGGATTCTTCGGCACTGAGATAAAAAAGACACTTCATTCGGTGAAATGCAAAAAAAGACAAAGGCTGGAACGCACCAGGCGAGCCGGTGCGATCATGCATTTTTGCATCAAAACCAAAGTAAA